ACCATGCCGGGTCGGGTCAAGTACATACCAAATATAGTTATGGACTTAGACACTATATCCAACACATACATGATTTCAAGCACTCTAACTCAATAAAGAGGCCAATAACTCACATTTAGTCCTTAAATCCTTAAGTCTTTTCACCCAACACTCAGATTTGGTCCAAGAAGGAATTTTACAAAATTAAGTTCCCAACTTTATGCCTTGTCATGGCTAAATGTGCTCAAACCCAAAGCCTAACTTTTAACACAAAAACCCAAACTTCATAATCCTTTGCATGGATGGAAGGAATGGACCAAGATCACATTTTTATGACTTAGAGCACTCAAAAACCTTAGAAATGACAACTCAAATGGTATAGAGTAGTCTATACTCATAAAGACCAAAGCTTTGGGACAAAAAGTACATAAAACCCAAAACTAGCTAGATCAAACACATGATTCATCAAGATAGAAACTTTATACCTCTAGTAGCTTTAAAAGTTGATGAAGGTTCTAGATCTAGAAGCTTTACTCCAACAATAGCTTGATCACCGAGTTCCTTATTCTTCAAGGGCCAAAACATAACAAGTCATAACCCAACTAGATCCTCAAGAGAAAGCCACCAAGATTCAAACTTTTATACTTTCTGGAGCTAGATCAATATGATTAGGGCTTGGATCCACAAGCTCCAAGCCAAGCAATGCTTCCTCAAGAAACTCCTACTTCCACAATAAGCACCAAAAACCCACTAAATCACCAAAAAGCTCAAGAATCACTAAAATGGAGGCTAGGGTTTTGTTCTTATGGTTAGAGAGGATGGAGGCTGAAGAATGGAAGCGGTTTGGGTCCATAATGATGCTTATAAAGGGGACAAACCCTAAAAACGAGTCTTTGAAATAGCTTAGCGAATGCACAACGTTCCCCTCTTGGCATGCGTCAATTTCCCCTTGAACGCCATGCGTTCCCATATGGTACGCCCCGCGTACCCGGTTCAGCCCAAACCCTCCTAACTTCCAATGGTCATAAATTCTTCGTTATAACTCCGTTTATGACATTCTTTATATCCACAGAAAGGTAAAAAGAATCCCTACACTTCTATCAACTTTATTTTTCTTGAAACCCACTCGAACTTGGATCCAAAATTCATGAAAGGCCCGAACCAACGCCTTTACCGATACCCTTGGGCTCTAAAGCACAAACCGAGATCTTTAATCACACAACCTACCTTACCCACATCCAACAGGGTCTAAACCTTTCTTATTTAAAGCCTCAAAACCTTCTTATACCCGAATTACGACCCACGAGCCTTAAATCACAGAAGGATCTGAAACAAGATGTTACATTCGTCTATTTTGTCACCTAGAGAACCATAGTAAACCATTACTCTATTCTTAGACACTTTATATTTGTATTTGATATGCATTGTGCTTGAACATTTTTTATTTGTATATTTTCGTATAAAATATTCAGCAAAAGTAAAAAATTTTGAAAAACACTATTTACTTCTTGGTTTTATTATAATTAGGGTTTAACCGCCAATGCGACACCCTCTTTAGGTTCAAAAAGATTGATGTGGAACTTGGGGTCTATGGTGTTCGTGGGTTCAACCTTGGAGAGCTATTTATGCTGAGGGGGAGAGGATTGGGAGGTTGGATGCAACAATACATTGGTAACTTAATACTCTAAATTCAACTTTACAAATAACTCACTTGGTTCCGGTGTGACATGTTTTCTATTTAGGATAAGACAAGAGACCCAACTTCAAGACTTGGCAAAGACATATTTTGGGGTTTCCCCCGTTATGGTTCCCTTCAACAGTTGTCGATCTTTATGCAACTGCCCCTGGAATAATGTCAGGGTTATGGTTATCCTCACTTCTTCTTGCAAGCCTCTTCTCTTACAGCAAGCATCTCATTCATATTGTCCTTGTGGTGTCGAAAATGCAGTGTATGAAATACTATTTGGATGCATTTTTATTTGCCAAAATCCACTTTTACAATCAAATTTTGAAAACATATTTTTATTTCTAGTCCAATTGATTAGAATTTCTTTATGTGGTAAAAAGTATCCATCAAATATAGTATTATCATTTAATTTCTTATAATTTATCACCATTCGAGCTTTTCCTCTAGATATTTCAGCATGTTCCCTAACCATAAAGGAATGAGAACTATGTGGACTATGACTTTGTCTGTTTAATTTAAGATCTAACAATTCTTTTGTTTGTATTTTAAATTCATTTTGATCATCAGGATTATATCTAATTGGTTTGATTCTTATATGTTTATCTTTATCTTTCATTTCTAATTTAGCTGTTATTTGGTTTTTCTCCCAAAATTTTAACGAAATTTCTGAATAACATTGATTTATTTTATTTTTAAATATATTCTATGTCTACATCTAATTTTCTTAACTATAATTGATATTTTAATAATGGAGTTCCTTTTGGGAATATCACTTTTTGTTTGTAGCCTCTATCACCACGTTGGGTTGTGCGAGGTTTAAATTCAATTAGATATCTTTTTGCATAAGCTTGTATTAAGCGTTTTACAACTATTAGATGATGGCATGGCGTTTTGAAGATTATCTGTCTAAGTATGTTATCATATGTAATTTGATGGAATAATTGTAAAAAATTATTGGCTAATAAGATGGTGTTATGGAAATAAAATGATGGACATTTTATCATGTAGGATCCTAGTAGAATTATTGGTTGTTCGATACCTTTGGTGAGTGTTAAAATATTATTTTATATATCTTTTCCTTTTGTAAGTTTTAAATGTTGGTGATATTCTTTTGGAAAGCATTCTGGTTTGCACATATATGTGCCAGCACCATTATCTATATATGCTGCAAAGTATTTAGCCTTGTAATTTTTATAATTAATCCTATAGGAATATAAATACTTAATGGACTTGTCATTTATATATATATATATATATATATATATATATATATTATTTTTGCATTATATGTTATTTTTAACCCATAAGGTGTTATATTGTATGGTTTTACTTTTTCTAAAAAAGTCAATCCTAACATTATTTCTAATGTATCATTAGCATCTTCATTTAATAATCTTATTGGGATAATTTCTTATCCAAATTTAAGTAATGTATCAATTGCTTCGTCTATAATATGCAATTGACCATTAAAATTAGTATATTTGTATGATTTATCCAATTTATATTTTTGTATTTGTGTACATAGTTTATTATAAATATAATTCTCTTTTATACCGGTATCTATTAGTATATTAATAGGAACAAATTTTATTTTATTAAAATATTCTCCTTCTAGTTTATAAGTTAAATTATTATCTTTGGTTACTATTTCGTTATTATATCTATCTGAATATATTCGTTCTTTTAAAGGCTTACTATCTACTTTGGTGTTTGTAAAAGATAAAGTTGGATATGTAGAATTAGATATTAGTAATGGTTTATCTTGTAAGTCTAAATCTATGGGTCTTGATTCAATTTCTTCAAGTTTAGCCATACTTGGTATTTGTACTTGACATACATCATTGAATAAGTAAGGAAAATCGATTGTGTCTTTTACTATAAAACAATCTGAGTGATGTGTATTTGATATTACATATGAAATAACATATGTTATTGAATATGGCCTATTTTTTGTTTAAAGAAATCTCTTCTTTTGAAATCTTGTATTAAACTTAAAGTTTTATCATAATCTTTGTCTAAATATGTGATAAGAAATTATAGGGTACATATTAAATTTTAATTTTCCATATTGTAAATTTCCTTTAAGAACCCCTAAGCATGATTCTTCTCTATTTTGGATTTTATTATCGATTAGTCCTAGTTCTGTTGGAGTATCTAATCCCTCTTTAAAAGTTGATTTTATTATTATCTGTATGGGTCCTATATGTATCCATCCAAGGGTATTTTTTTATTTCATATTTTATTTTTTGTAATTTGTCTTGTATATCTTTTTTAAAAAGTAGTGGTATCATGACTTTATTAGAGGTCATCGATACTTCTAAGGCTCTTTCTTGGATATTTAATCCATAAAATAAATGATGATTTCTAGGATTAATTCCTAATTTTTGTAAGAAATTTGTTTTAAATTCCGAATAATTAGATAATGAAAAGTTTTCATGTTGTATTTGCTTTAACTTTTTCTTATTAATTAAAATTTCATGTTTATATATTCTCATGTTTGATCAATCTGGTTATTTATTATAGAACTATCTAAACTTGAAGAACCTGTTAAAACTATTTCTGATTCATTCATCCTTAGATGTGGTATATTCTGTTTCAGTTAATATGAAAATACTTTCGTCAAAATCTATATTTTCAAAGTCGTTTATTTGGACGAAATCTCCATTGTTTATCATGTTTTGTATATCTTCATCTATTTCAATTTTCTTTTAATTTTTATCAAACTTTTTTGGGCATTTATTACAATAATGTCATATTTCTTTACAATAGTAACAATCACGTTCTTTTGGTTTTGGTCCTCTTATATATAT